TACAGGTCTACGAAACGACAGGGAGAGGGGGGGGGGGGAATCAGGTGTAATAGACAATATAGTACCTGTATATTGTGCATACCTGTATCTCTTTATGTGATGACCAGGTAGGGGTGTGCGATATGGCGACATCATGATTTTTTTTTTCTCAGGAAAATCACGATTTTTATCATCTTTGTTTTACAATTTTTTTTGTGTCTTACAAGGTAACAAAATGTAAACTAAAAATAAGAATGGCAGATAATTAGGCTACAGTGGGTGAAGAGACAAATCTTTGTCATTATTAGGGCTGCCCTCGGCTAAAGATTTTTCTGGTCGACTAGTATTAGCATATAATTTTAAGCATTAGTTGACTAATCGCACATTTATTAACCCATTTAAATCATGCTAATGAGCCTTTAACTGCCTACATAGCTTGTTGCAACCATAGTTGCTTTCAGAAAGCGCACTCCAGATTGGGAACAGAGGGATTTGCATAATTGCCTTTCCACCAGGTTTCCTGTTCACACTCATCTTTTGCCTTGGATTCTTCTTATACCTTTCTTTCTTTTTTTTTTCTTTTCTTTTTTGTTCACCCAGACATTTGAATCAAAGAACTATGAGCTCTTATTGGTGATGATCGCCTCAAGCCAGTGTGTGGAGAGGATGCTTTGTTATTTATGGTGGTGATTCAGTTCCTACTCGCATGTTTGATGTGTATTGGCAGGTCTTAGTTGTTTGTCTTACCAGTATGTGGCCTTGTGCATGTTATAGAGAGAACTATGCTTATTTTTATTTAGTTTGTTAAAGAGTAAGGGTCTCATCTTTACATTATTAATGTTCAGAATAATGATTTATATATGAAGGTTAAGCCTCACCTACCCAAGTCAGATAAATTTTTTCTACATATGTGTGCTTGGATCAGTAAGTCGATTGATTGAAGAGATAGGCCTACTTGATAGAGAGAGTGCAATTATCAATCTAACGTAGAAACGATTACAGATCTGAGCACACAAATCAACTTACGACAGAGTTCACGTGTAATACATGAAGCATTCACAGGGCTCGCAAAATTTCAAAATCTCTGATAGCCCTTCGGGCAGACATTCTTCAGATTTTGGTAGCCCAAAATGAATTTAAGTTGGCCGAATAAAAAAAAAAAAAAAAAGACATTGGCTGAACTTCACTGCGGATAAATCAGGATGATTAAAAACTTCAGTGATCGCTTTTTTTCTTCAGATAAGTCAAGAGAGTAGGGGTGCAACGGTTTACAAAACCCACGGCTCGGATCATATTGCATTATCATATCAGATTTTAAGTAACAGATCGGGTCATTTTGCAGATGAGCTAAAAAAAAATATGGTTCTTATTTAAATAACAGAATACTTCTTTGATACCACAGCAAAGTGTTACACAGCAACTAGTAGCATATAGGGATGTAACGATTTACTCAACTCACGATGGGATGCGATTCACAATACTGATTTACAATACAATTTTCTCACAACTTTTCTTTTTAACAAAATGAGATTTAAGACAAATTATAAATGAAAAGGTGTCCTTTTACTATTTCTTAAACAAAATGCTGCACATTTCTTTGTGAAATTTAAATGTCAAATAATAAAACTAACTTGACATTTTAAAACAAATCCCAAATTAAATGATACAAATAAAATAAATCTCTTCATATAAAGAAACTAACGCTTTGGCTGTGCTTTTTCCATTTAAAATCAGAGGCAACCACTGCATTTTACTCACGATCCAAACAAAGATGCTAAATGCATGTTATTTAGATTGCAATTAAATTGTATAATTTCGAAATTTGAAGCAAAAACAATGGTTTGATTTTAGCTTTGTGAATGAGACGCAGATGTCACTCTCTGACAGCAGGTGGCGCTTATGGAACAGCGGGTATTTACAGGCTGCTGCCCCTTTAAGACCGAATGCACGGATCCAATATAATGATGCACTTGAGATTTCTTTCGCCACTGTTTGTTCACTTAAGACATAACCGACTGTGATTTACGAGAATACTTGCCGAGACAGTTATTTTGAGATGTCGAGGGAATGCGTGTGATGCTGACACCCGATTGGCCTACAAAGTGAAGTCATAGTTCCCCCACTCTATTATTCCCACCAGTATGTGTAGTTTTCCTATGACTGACGCTTTAAACTGTGAGATCATGTAATTGAGACTTGTTCATGGATCACAAGTGCGTGTTTGTTTTTCACTTTGAAAGAGTTTCTGCATAGCATCTGTAGAGCTCATTGATATAACCGATCAAACTGCCTATATAAACACAGCAAAAATAACACTCAAAAAATGCAAAAGCACATTCATATATATTTTCAATGCAGGGTACAAATGCAAAACAGCTGTGCATATTTTTGTGCATTTAAATTATAGCTATCACAGGATGTATGTGTATTTATGTAGTGTTCTGTGAGCTTACAAAACCCATGTTTCATGTTTGTTCATTTTGATGCGTGTAATGTTCTGTTGCAGCATTTATTTGTGTGGACCTTTGCTGCTTTTAACTCCATGAGAGCAGCATAAAAATGAATGGCTCAGAAGCCGTTGTTGTGTTTTCTGTTTTCCCCTCTTCCCTCTCCATTCTGCAGCTTAATACAGTTTTTTAGCATTTTTCAAAACAATTTCAGAAACACACACTTTCTCCCTCCTGTTCTTTCTGCTATGAATATTGGACATTAACTGTTTTTTAACTGTTAACATATCTTATTAACATTTATTAACACCTGCCTCATGGTCTAACAGCTTGACTATGTATTTTATAATTAATGATGTTGTAATGATAATTATATTTGGTTTGGTTTTGATGGTCTTCTCTTTCTTCTTTCAGCTGTCTGGGGAACCCACGCAAATATGAGGTAATTATAATTTCTTTTTGTAGAAAATAAAATGTTTCAGACAATTTGCTAGCTTAGTCTAATGCAAAAAATAAATCTAAATAAATAAATTTAGTAGATATCAGTGGAAAAAGTAGCAGATATCAGTCATTCTGCTCAGATGGGCTGCTCATCATTAGAAGACCTTTTTTATCATTTGCTCTTAAGGCTGTCACAATAACATATTATCACTACACAATTATCTTGCACAAAAGAATTCAAGGTAACAATATTATAGCAATTGTGTTTTTGTTTTTTGGAATCGCACTCAAAATACGAGTATAAGGACTTGGAGACAGAGTTTGTAACCATAGGTTTCCATATGGTAAAATGTGGTAAAAAGTCAAAAAAATTAATAAAAATGGACACTTTAAATAGTAGTTAATGCATTCCTGTGGAATCAAACCCATGATATTTAATGCAATGCCCACTTTTCACAGTTAAATCATTTCCAGATTAATCAAATCAATTTTGAATATCCCATTTCACTCAGATTGATCACATTTACAAGTTCTGGGTATGTGTATGTTGTGGGTGATTAGTGGTTGGTAATTTCTGTTGTGTTCATCAATTCGGATCGAAGCCCATGTAGCTCAAGTCCTGCGTGAATGACCATTGCACAATGCATTAACCAGAAAGAGATTAGAACTACTCACTGGGCTGTGCAAAACAAGCTTTGGGATAGATCAACTGCTGGCATGCGGTACTGTTGACTGTGAGCATCTTCATCATGCGTCCAGACTAAGCTGAGGAAGAGAATTGTGTGCTTCAGTAAGCTCTGCTGTGCAAGTGTGAATCTATGTGTACTTGTGTATCTGTGTGGCTGCGATAAAGCTGTCTGTTGTTGTTTCCCACAGGTCTATACAGGAACACGGAGAAATGAAGATTGAGCAGAAGATAGATGAGGTTTGTTAGCACAAGCTGTTCACGTGCATTTTGTAGGTTTTTTATTTTTTTTATTTTTTTTTTTTTTTGGAAGTTCACTTTTTCACATTTTATTTAGTGTCAACTCCTGCCTCATTTTCACTGGAAACCATATGTACGTAACAGCTGATATCCACACTTCAGGCTCTCTGGAAACATTGTGCAGCTACCCAAGAGCGTATTATAATTAAGAATTTAATTAGTCAAAAACATGCCTTTTGATAGCAATTAAGTTTCCTAGTCAGGGGGCAAGTAACAAGCAGTGCTGAGCTGTTACACTCTGCTTGGAAACCCCAACTACTCTTTCTCTGTGTGCGATGCTGTCCTGACTACATGTGTGACGTGACCCAGAATTTGTTATTTAAAAAGGGTTGATTTTAGTCTCTTTTTTTTCCCCCATTATGGTAATGCTGTGTTGCAGAGGGTAACAGGTAAAGGCTGGAATACACTACACTGAACAGATTTTAAAACACTGTAGGCATCATACATTTGCTGACTTTGTAAATGGTTACAAAGCAAAACTGGGCGTCATACACTAAACAACTGAGGATCACACACCACCAGTCTGAACACAAACTCGCACAGAAATGAATGAAAACAATGTGTGTTCTGAAATTGGCTCTATATGAAGGGCCAGATTTACTAAAGAGGGCAAATTAGCGTGAGAGTACAATCCCATAAAAGCGCAGATGAGAGGAAATTTCTGTGACTGATCTACTGACAACGTGTGAATTGAAGAACATAAATGCAACCGGATCATTTCTATAATGACCAACACAATCTACCAAGAGCAGCTCAAATTAGCGTCTGGTTTAAGACATGCTTTTTTTGTGCGATAAATTATGGCTCAAATACCAGTAGATAGATTAGCTCAAACCTTAGTAAATCACATTGTTTGGTTCATTTAAATAATCTCCTCCCATAAATTTTGCATCTGAAAGGGGGAACTCTTGCAAATGCCCATGCAAAAAGCTCAGTCACAAAAATGACTGTCCCCACAACTTTTCATATTTTTCACTGCATGTCTTTAAAAAATCCTGACAGTATAGTTTTTAACACTAAAAGAGGGTTTGCGCTGGTCCCAAGATTTCCTTGAGCATGTTTGTGATCCTCAGCTGTTAAAACCATGACCATATGATACACAGACACACACACACACACACACACACACACACACACAGGGGCTTTCATCAAAATGCTTGACTTTGTTTTTGCACTGTCGTCACCAAGCCCTCTTATTTGCCTCTTCAGTCACCTCACACCAGAAACAACTTTTCACTATCCAATTCATTCCAGATGGATCAAGTACTATCTTCATGTTGCCTTTAAAATATGACATATATCTCAACCCTTATCATGATGCTATAGACATGAATGATGCTTCAAATTAGGTGGCTTGTTGAGGTGAAGTAACCTGTTACATGTCTTGGCAGTCAGATGTACCATTTTTACCTGATGGATAACAAAACAGGTGAATATAGATGCCAGAATATCAGATGTGGGCCAGTATAAGAAACCACCCAGAACACCCATAGCAACCCTCCGAAAACCACTCAAAGTAGATGGCTGCATTTTTAGTTTGTCATATTTGCAACATGTTTGAGAAAGTGTGCTTTACACACCACAGTCTTGTTTGAAACTGGATGAAACCCATTTAATTTAACTCATGCTGGTACATTCACATTAAATGTCTGTAGAACTGTGATCTCGATCTTCTCATTATAGATCCCAAATGTCTCCTTATCACCTTCCAAAAACTAATTAGAAACCACATTTACCCTATCTGCCTGACATTATGGATCAAAGTATGTCAACACCTACTAAGGCTTATTTGTCAGCATCTGTGATAGCTTTTAGAAACGTTAATGTTTATTCCCCTGCCTGATGTTGATATTTCAATTAAAGAAGTGTTACAGTTTGGAGATTTTCTTCGACCCAGATCTTAACAATTTTGGCCATCATTTAACCTGTTAATGAAGTTCAGAATTAACATGATTAATAATTAGTGATTTGTGCTTGAATCGATTTAAGTATTCAGATTCATTACATGATATTCTGATTGGTTAAATTAATCACAGTTCATCAATCTCAATATTTGCTTAGAAAGACACCAAATGAGTTTAAAACAATGCTATTTTTTAGTTGTAGTTCTACATTCACATGCACACACACACACACACACACACACACTCAGGTTTACATTTGTGAAAAGTGGGGACATCCCATAGGCGTAATGGTTTTTCTACTGTACAGACCGTATATTCTAGGATATTAAATGTATATTCAGAAAAGATGCATTAAATTGATCAAAAGTAACAGTAAATACATTTATGATGTTTAAATAATTTCTATTTCAAATAAATGCTGTTCTTTTGAACTTTCTATTAATCAAAGAATAAAAAAATGTCCACAAAAATGTCAGTCAGCACAAATGTTTTCAACATTAGTAATAAGAAGAAATGCTTCTTGAGCACTAAATCAGCAAATTAGAATTATTTCTGAAGGATCATGTGACACTGAAGACTGGAGTAAAACAATTTTAATTGTAATAATTATATTGTATTCTATTATGATGTTATATTTTTTCTATTGTATTAATTACCCAATATTAAGGTTTTTGCTGTATTATTGATCAAATAAATGCAGCCTTAGTGAGCACTTCTTTGTAAAACAAAATCTTATCGACCCTACATTTTTGAATGGCAGTGTAAACTATTTTGTATTTTATTCAATTGAATTCCATTCAGGCCATTTAATTTTGGCCTTTTTTCACATAAACTTAAAAAACTTTGTCTTGGTCAGAGATACATTTCTGCCATTCTGTCTGTTTAGCTTCCCTTAGAAGGCTTTGGGCCCTATCATACACCCGGCGCAATGCGGTGCAAGGCGCGCAGCGCAAGGGTTTTTGCTAGTTGCAAATGCATTTTTGTGTGCCCATGGGCGTGCTGGTCTAAAAAAGAGGTGTGTTCAGGCGCATTGTTGGCGCGTTGCTATTTTGCTATTTTGAAAATACACTGTGCCGTAGACCAACTCAAACCTGGTCTAAGGTCTGGTGCAATATTTTTTCTTTGTTATTTAAAGCGCGCGTTAGTAATATGTGCCTATAGGCGGGTGCACAATGCACGTACACTTTGCTTATTACACACACAGGGACGTGCAGCAGCACACAAACATTTTTAAAAATTAAAAATTACATTCAGCCATGTAAATGGCGAACCTGCCATGGCGCGAGCGCAACCGGCTTTTAAAGGGGATGGGAGATGAGACTCTGATTGGTTAATTGCATGTTACGCCCAAAAAACACCCATTAGTCATTAAGAGAATAGGGACAACCCGTTTAGACCATGCGCCCGGGCGCGCCGACCGTTTTCCCGTCGTTAAACTAGCAAAAGTGGATTCGGGGACACCCTGAGTGCACCTGCGCCATGCGCTTAGATCGTTAAAATAGGGCCCTTTAATCTCACCTGACTAATGGATGTATTTCCCCTCACACTCTATAAATTTCTCTCTGATCGCCTCTTTTCCTGTTCTCTTTGTTTCTTTCTTTGTGTCTCATGTTTCTCTTTCTTTGCCCATCCTGTCCTGTTCTTGCTTTTATATCTAACTCTGTTGCTCACAGGCAGTGGCACCTCTCAAGGAGAAGATACGGGAACTTGAGCTTAGGTATGTTTTTTTAACGGTCTTTTACAGATAATACAATTATTTCTTATAGTACAATACTTTAAAACACCGTAATATTTAGTATATTTATCTATTTATTTACTTACTTTATATTATACATGCTATTTTTAATGTGGCCACATTTGACAAATATGTTGTGCAGTAGTGAGGAAAAAAGCCTTGAGAAGAAAGTAATCATCTGGGTAGGATATTTCTCAACCTCAAATTACACTAAGTTTGCTTCATAAAGTGGCATATGTCTTAAAACAGACAACCTGGAGAAGCTTAAGCAAGGATGAATGGATGAAAAGACAAGCTGAAGCATAATGTGCACCAAGCTTTGATTGACGTAGCAAGAGAGTCAAATTTGCTCTTTCACCGTTGTGTTTTTTATATATATATATATATATAAAGCATGATGTTTCCACCCCCATGCTTCACAGTAGGTATGGTGTTCTTTGGATGCAACTCAGCATTCTTTCTCCTCCAAACATGACAAGTTGAGTTTTTACCAAAAAGTTCTATTTTGGTTTCATCTGACCATATGACATTCTCCCAATTCTCTTCTGGATCATCCAAATGCTCTCTAGCAAACTTCAGACGGGCCTGGACATGTACTGGCTTAAGCAGGGGGACACGTCTGTCACTGCAGGATTTGAGTCCCTGGCGGTGCAGTGTGTTACTGATGGTAGCCTTTGTTACTTTGGTCCCAGCTCTCTGCAGGTCATTCACTAGGTCCCTCCGTGTGGTTCTGGGATTTTTGCTCACAGTTCTTGTGATCATTTTGACCCCACGGGGTGAGATCTTGTGTGGAGCCCCAGATCGAGGGAGATTATCAGTGGTCTTGTATGTCTTTCATTTTCTAATAATTGCTCCCACAGTTGATTTCTTCACACCAAGCTGCTTACCTATTGCAGATTCAGTCTTTCCAGCCTGGTGCAGGTCTACAATTTTGTTTCTGGTGTCCTTTGACAGCTCTTTGGTCTTGGCCATGGTGGAGTTTGGAGTGTGACTGTTTGAGGTTGTGGACAGGTGTCTTTTATACTGATAATGAGTTCAAACAGATGCCATTAATACAGGTAATGAGTGGAGGACAGAGGAGCCTCTTAAATAAGAAGTTACAGGTCTGTGAGAGCCAGAAATCTTGTTTGTAGGTGACCAAATACTTATTTTACCGAGGAATTTACCAATTAATTCTTTAAAAATCCTACAATGTGATTTTCTGGATTTTTTTTCTCATTTTGTCTCTCATAGTTGAGGTATACCTATGATGAAAATTACAGGCCTCTCTCATCTTTTTAAGTGGGAGAACTTGCACAATTGGTGGCTGACTAAATACTTTTTTACCCCACTGTATATATATATATATATATATAATTTTTGTTTATCCAGGTCAAGGGGATATTAAATGTATATTCAGAAAAGATGCATTAAATTGATCAAAAGTAACAGTAAATACATTTATGATGTTTAAATAATTTCTATTTCAAATAAATGCTGTTCTTTTGAACTTTCTATTAATCAAAGAATAAAAAAATGTCCACAAAAATGTCAGTCAGCACAAATGTTTTCAACATTAGTAATAAGAAGAAATGCTTCTTGAGCACTAAATCAGCAAATTAGAATTATTTCTGAAGGATCATGTGACACTGAAGACTGGAGTAAAACAATTTTAATTGTAATAATTATATTGTATTCTATTATGATGTTATATTTTTTCTATTGTATTAATTACCCAATATTAAGGTTTTTGCTGTATTATTGATCAAATAAATGCAGCCTTAGTGAGCACTTCTTTGTAAAACAAAATCTTATCGACCCTACATTTTTGAATGGCAGTGTAAACTATTTTGTATTTTATTCAATTGAATTCCATTCAGGCCATTTAATTTTGGCCTTTTTTCACATAAACTTAAAAAACTTTGTCTTGGTCAGAGATACATTTCTGCCATTCTGTCTGTTTAGCTTCCCTTAGAAGGCTTTGGGCCCTATCATACACCCGGCGCAATGCGGTGCAAGGCGCGCAGCGCAAGGGTTTTTGCTAGTTTCAGCCTGACGCAGTTCTCATTTTCCCATCCTGCGCCGTGTTGTTTAAATAGCAAATGCATTTGCGCCCATTTGTGTGCCCATGGGCGTGCTGGTCTAAAAAAGAGGTGTGTTCAGGCGCATTGTTGGCGCGTTGCTATTTTGAGGAACTGAAAATACACTGTGCCGTAGACCAACTCAAACCTGGTCTAAGGTCTGGTGCAATATTTTTTCTTTGTTATTTAAAGCGCGCGTTAGTAATATGTGCCTATAGGCGGGTGCACAATGCACGTACACTTTGCTTATTACACACACAGGGACGTGCAGCAGCACACAAACATTTTTAAAAATTAAAAATTACATTCAGCCATGTAAATGGCGAACCTGCCATGGCGCGAGCGCAACCGGCTTTTAAAGGGGATGGGAGATGAGACTCTGATTGGTTAATTGCATGTTACGCCCAAAAAACACTCATTAAGAGAATAGGGACAACCCGTTTAGACCATGCGCCGACCGTTTTCCCGTCGTTAAACTAGCAAAAGTGGATTCGGGGACACCCTGAGTGCACCTGCGCCATGCGCTTAGATCGTTAAAATAGGGCCCTTTAATCTCACCTGACTAATGGATGTATTTCCCCTCACACTCTATAAATTTCTCTCTGATCGCCTCTTTTCCTGTTCTCTTTGTTTCTTTCTTTGTGTCTCATGTTTCTCTTTCTTTGCCCATCCTGTCCTGTTCTTGCTTTTATATCTAACTCTGTTGCTCACAGGCAGTGGCACCTCTCAAGGAGAAGATACGGGAACTTGAGCTTAGGTATGTTTTTTTTATTTTTTTTTTACACCAAAAAATGTGTACACTGTGCTAACTTCATGTTTGGCTGTGCTTCATATCATGCCATGGTCTTTTACAGATAATACAATTATTTCTTATAGTACAATACTTTAAAACACCGTAATATTTAGTATATTTATCTATTTATTTACTTACTTTATATTATACATGCTATTTTTAATGTGGCCACATTTGACAAATATGTTGTGCAGTAGTGAGGAAAAAAGCCTTGAGAAGAAAGTAATCATCTGGGTAGGATACCCCCTCACACTCTATAAATTTCTCTCTGATCGCCTCTTTTCCTGTTCTCTTTGTGTCTCATGTTTCTCTTTCTTTGCCCATCCTGTCCTGTTCTTGCTTTTATATCTAACTCTGTTGCTCACAGGCAGTGGCACCTCTCAAGGAGAAGATACGGGAACTTGAGCTTAGGTATGTTTTTTTAACGGTCTTTTACAGATAATACAATTATTTCTTATAGTACAATACTTTAAGTGGTTTACAGAAAATAGGAAATGAAAACTGTTGCTTATAAATGTAGCTCTTCAGAAGGGCAGTAGTGCAGATTTTTCTGAGGGATGAATTTGTGTTATAATGAAGCTTCTCTGGAGTGCACAGAACACAAGAGATTTGAGTTACCTAAAGAAAAATGTGTTCTCTATGGGACCAGTGCAGCAGTTGAAATTATATACATATCCACTTGTCAGTATTGAGTATCTCAGTGTCAGTATTGAGTATCACGGAGAAACTCAAGAATAATTGATAGGAAAATCAAAAGCACAGATTCATCCTGCTTGATTTTTTGAATGGTTATCGAGTTTCTGCTCTTAGATACTGATAAGTGGATTTGTACTGAAATAATTTGAAAGAGTGGCTAGGAGAATGTAATGTGCTTAAGGACATTTTTCATCAGCATTGATTTCTTTGCACTTATGTCTCTATGTAGGGGTCTTTTGAGGTATAGAATATAATTAGTCTTGAATCATGCTTATTTAAGGTTTTCTTTCATTATACAGTTTTACCCAGAAGTACCCACCTGTGAAATTCTTATCAGAGAAGGACCGAAAGAGGATTTTGGTAAGAAGTTCTTCTCAGTCTTCTTAAGTGTTTAGAAACTACTGCTTCAATAATACATGTACCTCTGTCTGTCAAATATACATGGGATCCCTTGCTCCTTACTAAATTATAGTTGGTCTTCATAGTTTATTGCCGTTTAATTGTTCATTTTCCACTCTTTGGCAGATCAGTGGCATTTTTTCTTTCCTCCAACAGAAATGTTATTAAATAAAATCTACTGTGTTTATATGATCACCATGTCAGGTTAAATTTGACAATGTGTCACAATGAAATGATTGTAGTAGGAAGTTTTTCAATAGGTAGCATTGCACTCAGACGATTGAGACTGAATTACAATTATAGCAATCAGCTGCAAAGGCTACAAACATGGTTTACAGAAAATAGGAAATTAAAACTGTTGCTTATAAATGTAGCTCTTCAGAAGGGCAGTAGTGCAGATTTTTCTGAGGGATGAATTTGTGTTATAATGAAGCTTCTCTGGAGTGCACAGAACACAAGAGATTTGAGTTACCTAAAGAAAAATGTGTTCTCTATGGGACCAGTGCAGCAGTTGAAATTATATACATATTCACTTGTCAGTATTGAGTATCTCAGTGTCAGTATTGAGTATCACGGAGAAACTCAAGTATAATTGATAGGAAAATCAAAAGCACAGATTCATCCCGCTTGATTTTTTTAATTGTTATCGAGTTTCTGCTCTTAGATACTGATAAGTGGATTTGTACTGAAATAATTTGAAAGAGTGGCTAGGAGAATGTAATGTGCTTAAGGACATTTTTCATCAGCATTGATTTCTTTGCACTTATGTCTCTATGTAGGGGTCTTTTGAGGTATAGAATATAATTAGTCTTGAATCATGCTTATTTAAGGTTTTCTTTCATTATACAGTTTTACCCAGAAGTACCCACCTGTGAAATTCTTATCAGAGAAGGACCGAAAGAGGATTTTGGTAAGAAGTTCTTCTCCGTCTTCTTAAGTGTTTAGAAACTACTGCTTCAATAATACATGTACCTCTGTCTGTCAAATATACATGGGATCCCTTGCTCCTTACTAAATTATAGTTGGTCTTCATAGTTTATTGCCGTTTAATTGTTCATTTTCCACTCTTTGGCAGATCAGTGGCATTTTTTCTTTCCTCCAACAGAAATGTTATTAAATAAAATCTACTGTGTTTATATGATCACCATGTCAGGTTAAATTTGACAATGTGTCACAATGAAATGATTGTAGTAGGAAGTTTTTCAATAGGTAGCATTGCACTCAGACGATTGAGACTGAATTGAGACAGAAACAGCAGGGAGTAGAAAGACTGCTCTATTCCTCTGATTATTTACTGTGCTTATTTAGCCGCATGTTGTGATTCAGTCCCATGTGACCACTGCTTTATTAAAATGTATCTCAAATTTAGTAAGTAAAAAGTAATTTATGACTATATATTTCAGTAATGTTGGCATGTGAAATGACATAGTCTTTCCTCTGATAGATCACGGGTGGGGCAGGATTTGTGGGCTCGCACCTCACTGATAAGCTGATGATGGATGGTCATGAAGTGACAGTGGTGGATAATTTCTTCACTGGCCGTAAGCGCAATGTTGAGCACTGGATTGGCCATGAGAACTTTGAACTGATAAACCATGATGTGGTGGAGCCACTCTATATTGAAGGTGGGTGTATTCACATGATTGCTCACTTAGCAGAACATTATTTAATTTAAACACACATTAATAGAAATGTGTTGGAGAAACAATTAAATGTGTTACAGCATTACCTATAGATTGTGCTAACATCCTGTCGACTATGCCAAAAACGTTAGATGAAATCTTCATGCCAAGAATATTGGATCCAGTCTCTTTACTAGATCCCATCAGAAGGTATCTGTTTTGTCTGGGATCCAGAACTAGCCAGAATGGCTCTTTTGTTTGGTACCCAAAACTGTATTGACTTTCTTCTATCATATTAAAATTCTTTGTAATCTATCTGTCTTCTATCATCCTGACAGGAAGAAATAGAAAGCCAGGCAAGAGCAGAAGTCAGGAGGCAAAGTGATTTGAGATGGTCCTCATTGCAGAACACAAGATCCAGGGGGCTCCTCCCACCTTACATATACCTAAACCTACAGAATTTGGTCTGATACCAAAAAACTGTAAAATGGCTCTTTTGTTTGGTACCCAAAACTGTATTGACTTTCTTCTATCATATTAAAATTCTTTGTAATCTATCTGTCTTCTATCAGCCTGACAGGAAGAAATAGAAAGCCAGGCAAGAGCAGAAGTCAGGAGGCAAAGTGATTTGAGATGGTCCTCATTGCAGAACACAAGATCCAGGGGGCTCCTCCCACCTTACATATACCTAAACCTACCCATCTCCACCCCTAAACCTACCAATCTCCACCCCCTAGATGTGGATCCAACCACGCCCCCTGGATCTTGTGTTCTGCAGTGAGGGGCTACTGAGTGAATTTGAAAAAAAAAAATTTTTTGCAGGATTTATTGAACAATCTTAGTTGTGTATGTTTCAATGCACAGACTTTGTGTAAACTTGATCCCTGATTCATCTGACCAGCACAAATCCAAGTGTTATATACCAGAGCAAAAGCAATGGAAAATTACTGCTTAACAACATTGTGCTGTGTTAAAAATCTGAAATGGAGACATTCTTTTATCTCTAACTTGTAAAGACAAATATCCCTTGAAACTATGTAATCATAAGATTAAACAACAATAAAAAGCACTACAAGAGCAAGGACAATATTTAATATAATAAAAAAGACAACATGTTTAATTGTACACAATAATAATTTATATTATTAAATTGAATAATTAAATAATTAAGATTCAATTATTATGAACAAATAAATTAAAGAAAATCAAACAACATGTATGTTCTCTTGAAGCTACACTTGACACAGTTTGCTATTATTATTAACAACAACATTAATAATAATAATAATAATAATAATACATTTGTGAATATGCAAAATGATTGAGAAATATTGTAAATTGGTGAGTAATTAAAAGTAAATGTAAAAACAGTGGGCATAAGTAAAGGATACTAGAAAGAAAACGTTAAAGTGCCTCTATTATGCTATTTGAAAGGTTTATAATTTGGTTTTGGGAGTCCCCAACAACAGGTTTACATGCATGCAAGGTCAAAACACACTTTCATTTTCTTATAATATGCATTTAAATTATCCTTATTTCTCAGTGACTCTCAAACAATTCGTTCGAAGATTCATCTTTCCAAACCCTTCCTTTGCATGAGGTTACTCTGCTCTGATTGGTCCGATGACACTGTTGTGATTGGTCTACTGTGTACAGATCATGTCGTAAACAGAACGTAGTAAAGACCCAAACAATAATGCTATATGTGTTAGCCAAACACAGACGTGGAGTACTGATAAAGCACTGCAGTTTGTAAACCAACGTATTTCTCCATCCTTTATCCTGACTCCAAGTAATAAGAACAACAGACATTCTATGTTAATCGCCACATTTCTAGACAATAGCAGGCCCACAGCTGATTAGCAGAACTATAACGTGAGTTAGCCGGAGACTTACACGACACACACAACTATTTTTGCACATTCGACAGAACATTACAGCAACAATTATTAATCAGAATTATTCATTGTTAATTAAACAATTATTAATTGTGATTCGAAGGAGCAAGCTGGTCCAAACAATCTGCTGTGGTATCTGCTGTGGTATCGTAGACAAGATTAATTTTAACCACTAATACTTCACAGCCTCATCCTTTGGAAGTGAAAATAAACCGAATTTACTTTCACAGCGCAGAGCACAGCGTCTTGTCGACATGTTATCCACATGACTGAGCTACAGCGTTTGAGGGAGGCTCAAGTTTTCGCGGGATGTCCATGCAAAACGTAGGTGGGCATTATGCATATGTGGTAACTTGTGACATGTGAACTTAACGGAAATGAGATTCAAATTTTAAATGACTCATTTAAGCGATTCAGAGTTGACTCTTTCTTTTGAGAGACAATAACTTTATGATGCACTTTCAGCTTTACAACTTTGCAGACTGTTTACATTTCCATACAGCCACCTTACTACATAAAAGGTAATGTTCAAAAATCCATAATAGGGGCACTATAAAATTTATACCTCCTTTAGTTGCCTCAAAGGTACAAAGTAGGTACAGAGTGAGTTAAATTAAAAATCTTTGCATCTGTGCACTTGTCAGTCATGTTCTTGTGAAATTCACTTTCTGATTGCATGGTCTTTCTATTAAGGGTGGGATTGTTCAAACCGGTATCATTATGGGAAGTGAAAAGACTATTAAAACAAAAAAGAGGAAAATGATTTAGATTCAGCTGCCTCTGTAAGAACCTAACGTTTTCAAAGTTAAAGAGGTGGGGAGAGACAGAAACATTCAATTTGTTTTGAGGACAGTCACTGGACCCAACAGTGAGTGCTTGAATGAAGTGATAAAGTGCTTAAGAGAAGCTTCAGGTCATTATTTTGGCCCAGGTGTGAGCTTCACAGTATTTTTCGCCCCTCTTTGTTAGGCATCATCACACCTCCCACCACTCCTGCTAATCAAACCAGCAGAAGTGAGAGGGCGGCAAGTTAAAAACAATGTCAGCTATCTCTGTAATGGAAAATCTCAGCAGCTGGCAGCAACCCCTGATGAGTACAGGGTGACACACTTTACTGTGACATTAGCCACATTCACACAAGAAACCAGTTAATTTACAAATTATAAACGTTATTGTTAAATGTGGGGGGGGGGGGCTGGGTGTTGGGGGGAGCGTCCGAATTCTGAAGCCCGGCTTATAACATAGCAAAAGAGGAACTCCTGTTCACAAAATTCAGTTCAGAAATAATACTGAATGAAAAAGAACAGGTTGATGCTAATCTCACATTTGTTACCATATAACTATAAACTTTGATAACGGAAAAAAACTATTCATCAGCATGCATTAATACCATGTAGCAAAAAATAAATAAAAATGTGCGACCAAATCATGTGCTGGTGCGACCAACTGAGAAAGTTGTTGAGACATGTTGCATTAGAAAACAAGACAATAGATCTTAGGAAGAAAAACACTTTTTGCAGAGTGATCAGTAGGTACAGTAAAAGTTATTTCCATATTCTAGTAGTATTAATCTAATGGAGATCTGTTGAAACTGTAGCGAATACAAATTTTGCACTTCCTAAATGCAGAAACCCTGGTGATACCATTTGCTGGAAATTACATTTTAACAGCTGTGCCATTCAGCACTTGTCCAATTTGATAACATTATCATCACAGGCCTATAATGAAATGGCTTGAAGTCACTGCATCAGCTCCTTCTGAACTTGGCCAACACAATCTCATGAGGAAAAAGTAACTGTTTTATGGGGTGATGATTTCATATGAATTTTCTTTCAATGTTATTCGAAAGAAATTTGATTTGTAAAAAAAATAAATAAAAAAGTACACGCAAAATTCCACCCCTAACCTCAACCTTAAACCTAACTATTCAAATGAAATCATACAGAATAGCCACCAATACACCAAAACAAATATTTTACATATAGTACGACCCAACTTTTTGACTGCAGATTTCTTACATCAGAGCATTCTAACCTTGAACATGCTCAAACCATTTATCTTACAACTTTGTTCACATGCAGCGTCAACACAGAACTTTTCTGGCTTCTTAAACTGGCTCAACGGGTCCTGCACACCCATGACCTCTAAACTGGTAAAATACCACTGGTGGTGGTAAATGCTAAAGTACTTTTGTTGTCTGACAGATTTTCTCTACTGGTTATAATTCTGTGGCAACACATATAACCAGAATGGTAACATATGGTAAAATGCTATTGTTATGATGACAATGGTAACATATGGTAAAAAGTTTAGCAAACTAAACATTTAGTCTAGTTTAGAGAGAATGCTATTTATTTTCTTTTATTTCCTTTGTTTTTAAGATTTACATATATTAATAATGTCTCGGTACAAAAAGTTATCAAGGTATTGTGGATCACAGGAAATGTCACACTGGATTTTGTGTAATAAAGCCAGTCAAATTACTGTCATATAAATGTCCATTAGTAAATAGTCTGTAAGCAGTCACTTTAGATCTAGTCTCAGCTTCTGACAGCATGCCCATGGACCATCTGATACATTGCTGGCTGTGTCCATGAGTCAGGATAAACAGGATTTTCTCAGCTTGCCAAAATTTGGTTTACAAGTTACCAGACTGCTACAGTGAGTCCTTCTGAAGAAGGTGCTAGCCACTGTGTTTGCCATTTTAATTTATGATAGATATTCAAGTGTTTGGCTTCAGGAACTTAAACCTGCAAGTAGCTAAAATAGCTCTTCTGTCCTCAAGCACAACTGTATATCACACTTTCTGTAGAATCTTTTCCCTGATAGTTATTTTTATTGTTTCTGTAGACATTCTGAGATTGACTAACTGATAATGGATTTTGGGTAGCCTCTTATATTCTTAACTATGGCTATATTTGGGTAGACCACGGCCCAGACTCACAAAACAATTTTAATAAAATTGTGGTGTTCCCTATCGAAAATGGTCTCTCCTGTTGCATATACACGCTTATGTGGGAAACTCATATTTACTCTGAATGCTGAAGCCTGATTTGTTCATGTTTGTTTAGCTACACAAACAAATGGCAATTGAGAATTTTTCTC